TGAACAGAGCTTGGGGCGGGGTAGGGGGGTGGGAAGAACCAGAGCATAGAATCTGGATACTGGCGGCAACTTCTGAGACCCGCAGATCTGCTGACCCCAGGACTGGGCTGAGGCCCCAGCCCAACACCCATAATCAAGGCTCAGAACAGAGCCACCACCCAACTTGAGGCTGCGTGTTCCTGACCGCAGCCTCCGGGTTTAACTACCAGTGGCCCAAGGCAGAGCAAAGAGTGGTTCTCTCCCTGGCTGGCCTTCCTCGCAGGCTTCACAGATAAAAGAAGGACCATGTGGTTCCATTTTCAGATAAACCACATGAGAAGGGCTGAGAAACACCACCGAACACAAGACTGTCCCTGAAGGAACACCAATCCCAGGCCCTACCAGTGGGGACTGGGGCCATACACCCCACTCCTGGCCACAGGACTTCGGGTCCACTAGACGGGCATGTGAGTTTCCCACGCCCCTGACCTCCATTTGTGCACACACCATCAACGCTGTGTGCATCCGGGATTCTGGAAAGGGCGGAATCTGTGTTTCGACGTCAGAAGAACATGTGGGAACGCAGCCCTCCCCTGTACAACCTTCCTTAGGAAGGCCTCCACCAAGCCCCCGGATGACCCTGGTATTTTGTCCTCTGTCCCTGCATTTATGGCCCCTGCCCAGCTTGCAGCCATCACCCCCTGGGGCCTGGGGCCTCCACAAGGTGGCTGTGGGTCTATTTCCTCCCTGTATCCCCACACAGAGTACATGCCGGCACATGGTATGCCCTTCGGTGATTAAAGATGGGCAGCACCCATGCCCCCCTGAAAATACTCAGTTATAGCTGCACGAATGTTCAAGGAGCTCCCCACAATTAGAAACAACAGCAGAGAATCTTTTTTTTTTTTTTTTTGGTGGTACTGGGGATCGAACCCAGGGCCTCAAGCATGCTAGGCAAGCACTCTATCATAAGCTACATCCCCAGCCCAATAATAACTTATGATAAAACCTCAAGCAGAATATGATACAACTGTTTAAAAGAGCAATGTGGTTCTCTGTATATTAACGTGTGTAAAGAGATCACTGAGACTACTGTTAAAGAAAAGAACTAGTCACAGAATAATATGTGAGCCCAGCGCCGTGGTGCATGCTTGTAATCCCAGTAACCTGGGAGACTTGAGACAGGAGGATTGTTAAGTTTGAGGTCAGCCTTAGCAAAACCCTGCCTCGAATTTAAAAATTAAAATAAAAAAGAATAATAGGTCAAAATGCTAAAACTCATATAGCTAAGTGAAGATAAATGGATTCACACCAGTGATTTTTTCAAAGATAGAAGACCACAAGAGGCCTTTAGCTTCTAAGTATCGTATCTCTGCATAGTGTGAATTCTGTGTGCCGTGTGTTATAAAGTCAGCTGTGTTCAGTGGTTGAGGTCCTAGCCTGCTCTGTGACCAGCAGCAAGTTACTCATTCTCTCTTACTTCCCTGTCTTTATCTATAAAACAGTAACTGTTCTGATAGGACATATAATGCCTCTGTAGTAACAGTGTTCAATAAATAGAAGCCGTTAGTACTACTCTCTTTATGTATTATTTCTACAACCAAACACACACACACACACACACATACATACACACGTAAAAATGCCTTTTAAAAGTCAGTGATAACGGCAAGAGAAAAGAACCCAAGTTTTGGTGAAACCCAGTCTAGCTTGGGATTCTCACTTAAAAGAAGGAAATACAGCATTGCCCCCCAGGGGCCCATGTGCCAGAGAGGAAATCAACAGCTGCCCCAAACGGGCCTATTCTCCCAAGACCTCTCCCTACAAAGGCCCCATACTTTGTACTTCAACACCTCAGCCAGGGTGTGAAAGCATCTGTCACCTCCTCCCCCCCCCCCCCGCCCCCAGCCCTGTGTGATCTCCCTTAGATAACTTAGAAAGCAAAGTGCCCCATCCATGCAGGCCCATGGCTGGGTGGGCTGCTGGGTGGGCTGCGAGGAGCTTGGCAGAGACATGAGGCAGTCCCCTGTTCTACCCAGAAATCTTTTGGGGAGACCATGTCTGGAGCTCAGAGGCCAAGGCTCAGCCGGCCCAACTCAACCCCTCACCTTGCTGAAGGCCCCAGGGCTTACCTGCACAGTCAGGTAGAGCCGGTGGGGACTCCCGGGGCCCGCCCAGTCCACGCTGAGGGCTCTGCACCGTGCTAGGGCCGGGCGAGCTGCTACTCGGGCACTGGAGTCCTCGTCGCTGCCAACCAGGGTATCTCTTCCACGCCCTGTCCCAGGACAGACAGACAGGTGAGAAGCTCAGACTGCTGGCCACGGACCACTGGCCAGGGCCTGGCTTGTGCATTCTCCCAGCTGGCCCAGGCGTGGCCAGAAGGGACTCACATGCCCTCACGTGCCTGCCCTGTGCAGAGGAAAGGCCTGGCACCAGCAGAGCTGAGCAACTTTCTTAACAAAAGCCACCAAGATTCTCTGCTGGAGGGCACCCAAGATGCCGGCAGGGCCCCCCACTTCCCACAGTGGCTTATGGGACGCACTTCCTCACCGACACCTCTACAGGACAGCAGGAGAAGGAGGCCAGAGCTTGCCACCCCAGGGCCTCGGCTTTATTACCCAGGCTGCCTCTAGGTGGCAATTTCTCCCCTGCCTTCATTAAGACCAAACTGACTGAGGTTAGGAGCCCGGTGGCCTGGTTCCTACAGTCTCCAGAAGCGTGTCCTGATGGGCCTTTGACACATTGCCTGGGGCTGCCTGGGGCTGCCATGGGGCGGGGCAGCGTGAAAAAGGGGCTTGCCTCACAGGGCAAACCGCAGAGCCACTGCTGGGGACAAATTATATCCTGAGTGCCAGCCACAGGGCTGTGTGCCTTTCAGGTCTTGCAGGCCTCCCGATCCTCTGTTTGCCTGACATCAAATGGGGATAACAAACCAACCTCAGCGCCTTGCTGAGGATCAAATGGGATGAGGCACAAGAAGAACCCCCAAGTGCCCAGCACCCAGAAAGTGCCCCCAGTCCAGCCCATTAGGACCGCAATTGCCAGCAGCTCCTCACAACCACCAGGGGAGGTGGGGAGCAGGAGGGTTAAGAACGTGCCCAGAGTCATGTGGAGCTAGTGTTCAAGTCCCACATGTTCAAGTCCCACGTCACCCCTTGCAGGGCACTAGGAGGTGGTGGGGACAGGGGCTCAGTCGGCTGAGATCCTACCCAGGGGCTGCCACTCTGCCTGCATTTCACACCTAGGCTTTTGTTTGACTTTTGTCTTAAATTTTTAAGTGGGTAAAAGTCTGTGTGGTCATAACGCTTGTCTCAAAAGACCTATACACATGCGTGCACACACCATTAGAGTTATACAGAATGCCCACTGACTTCTCTTTTCTTTGGCCATACTGGGGATAGAGCCCAGAGGTAATTTCCCCCTGTTCTACATCCCCTTTTTGTTTTGAGACAGGGTCTCACTAGCCCAGGCTGGCCTTGAACTTGTGACCCTCCTGCCTTGGCCTCTTGCGTAGCTGTGGTTACAAGCATGTGCCACCATGCCCAGCAACTTATTTTCCTTTTTTTAATGTTTTTCTGTGTTTTTTTTTTAAGTTTTCCAAGGGAAAATGTTTTTGTTTTCTTTCTTTTTTTTAAACTAGAACAGCCATACTTATTCATATTACATTTATAATCCTGACGACAACCTCACAGGGTGGAGAACATCCCCTACCCTTTTCAGACAACCAGATCTACCTGATATACAAGCCCCAGCCTTTCCCGGAGGTCTCCAGGTTATTCCAACCTGGATTGGATGCTAGGGAGCAGCCAGTCCCAGGCACCCCAATTGCTGGGAGACCTTGGAAGGAATCACTCTGACTGTCACTGATGACATAAATGTGGTCTGAGGGCTGGGGTGGTAGCTCAGTGGTAGAGCACTTGCCTAGCGCATGTGAGGCACTGAGTTCAATCCTCAGCACCATATAAAAATAAATAAATAAATAAATAAGTTAAAAATGTGGTCTGAGTGTGAGTGGGGGTGGGGTGGGGGTGGGCAGGAGTCTGCCCTCTCTGGTCCTCAGTTTCCCTTTCTGTACACTGAGAAATTTGGACCTAATGGCTTAGAGAGTCAAAACTGGCAAACTAAGCCCCTGTCCCTGTCAATCAGGAGTGATAGACGGCAAATCCCTCCCTGAAGGCACCTCACCTGTAGAGCCCCATCTCCCACACTCTCTGGGTGATCTGCCCACACATTAGCTCGGAGAAGGGTCATGAGCAGCTCCCCAGCCCTGACAATCCAGCCCCACCTGGAATCAGAGGAGCTACTCACTCCTGATGTTCCTGCACCAGGGGACATGACCCAGAAAAGACAAGCTGGCTCTGACAGCTCCCCAGGGGGCCCGGAGGGACCCAGAGCCCTGAACCTCTTCACCGTGCACCTGCTGTCAGGGTCCCCACAGAAGCCAAAGTGGACCTTAAGTTGAGCGCACAGCACCCAAACCCCGCCAGCCGCGCTCCGGGGCGCCGGGGCTCAGTCCTCGCGCCGTCCGTCCGGGGCGAGCCCAGGCGGGATCAAGTGTCCGCGCCGGGCCGAGCAGTCGCTTCACCTACCTTGTTTACCAGCCTCTGGCAGAGACTCGGCGCGCCCACCGGCAGGCCACCAGCAGATCACAGGGCCCCGACCTGGCGGGCGAGCGAGAACGGGCTGAGCCCTGCCCTAGGACGGTCGAGGCAGCCCGCTCGCTCCAGCCGCCTCCTTCCAGGCAGGGGCGCAGGAAGGAGCCGGAGCGCGCTCCACGCCCGGCCGGGCCGGTTACCCTGTAATTACCTGACAGCTCCGACTGAGGTTAGGAGCCGGCGAGAACCTCAGTCTCATCTCTGGTATCTGGAGGAAGGAAGGGAAATAAAGAGGCATTTTAAAAATGCGGACTCACCAGTTCTCAACCTCCCCGGGCCGGTGTGTGGGAAAGGGCGGGCGGCGGGACTGGCTGGGGCTGGGGCGGGGCGAGCCATCCCCGGCTCGGGCTCCCGGGCCCGGCCCACTCTCCACAGGCCCCGCAGTGAGGGCGTGGCTCCCAGGTTCCACGTCCTGCGAGAGGGGACCATGGCCCGGGGCTCAGCAGCCTCCTCTGGGTGCCGGGCAGCCTGCGGAGAGAACACGGGAAGAGAGCTTGAAGAGGGCTGGGGGCACCCTGGAAAGTCTGGAGGGTCTGTGAAGGATGGGTCACCTGTTACCCAGCCCTGCAGCCTCAGTTGCAACATCTCCCAAGGACCCTGGGCTGGCAGGACGAAATGGGTTCTTTCTCCATTCGGGGGGTGCTTGTTCCTGAATATGGAGTGCTCAGATGTGTCTGGGGCACTCTGAAGAGACCTCACGTCTGAGCCCCTCCTCCCGAGCCTGGCAGCAGGAAGGTATGGCGGGCCACTGCCCCACATGGAAGAAGCACTGGGAGCTAGCAACATCCTGGTAAGTCTTGCCCTTTTTCTGGGAGACCTCTCGTTTTCTAATCATCATCAGCCATGGGCTTGACCTCTAGCCTTCAGGCTCCTCTGCCTCAGCTAATGCTCTGAACATTAGCATTTCACTAAGGAGGGGCTCAGAAGAACCCGGACTGTGGCCAGCCAATTCTCTTACAATTCAGTCAGTCCTGCACCCCAGCACCCTTCCTCTGAGCCAAGGGCATGGCAGAACCCTGCCAGGTGTTGAGACACCAAGATTCACTCATTCTCCATTTAATAGTTATTTATTGAATGTGTGAAGGGTCATAGGCAGCTTCCCATGGACTTCCTCCTAGAAGTTCTGTTTGATTAGGGGAGATGTGACCTCAAAGCTTTCAGGCAGAAGGGAGATAAACACTTCATAAACCCTCACGGTGTGAAAGGATACATGGAGGCCAAAGGTAGTGGGGAACAGAGGTGGGGTGGGGAGCTCTGGCCAACAGAGAGAGCCCTGCAGGTCCCTCGTGAACTGAACAAACAAACAGAAGAGACGGCAAACATTCACTTTCCCCATCCCCCAGAACTAGGGAATGGAGCCAGGGGCACTCCACCACTGAGCTATATCCCCAGCCCTTTTTTCTTGAGACAAGGTCTCAATACATTACAGAGGCTGGCCTTGAACTTGCAATCATCCTGCCTCAACCTCCCAAGTCCCTGGGATTACAGGTGTGGGCCACCACATCCAGTGCGTTCACTGCTTTACTGAGCACCTACTGTGTGCAGAGCAGCCTTGAGGACATTTAAGATGACTGAGCTACAGTTCTAGATTCAGTGAAGCCACTTACAGAAAGTCAGCTTGGAGTGCATTCGAGGTGAGCACTCTACCAACTGAGCTATATCCCCAGCCCCTGGTTTTGGTTTTAATACTGAGTTAGGGACACCCAAGGGACTTCCCATGGAGCTACCTGTGCTGTGGGCCACTTTCCCCATCCTTTGCAGGGCTCAGGGTACATCCACCTTTGTGGCCCACAGCACATGGCCTGAGCTGCACCCACCCCAGGAGCTCACCATGGCTCCCTGGATGAGCATCCTGAAACAAACACCCACAAACACTCCCACTGAAGCTTGGAAGAGAGGTCAGGTCAGGACACCAAGACCCAGAGCAAAAGGCCATCGCTGCCAAAGGTAAGGGTACAACCCCAAAGGTTGAGCAAGAAACGTGGTAACTAGGCGAGGCCAGAGCTCCGTCCAGGGGTGGGAAGGGAAGCTGGTGAAGGAAAATCAGAGAGTGCCAAGAGCATGGGGCACTCCACAGTCCTCATAAGGGACTAGAGAGTGAGGGAGAAGGAAAGGACAGTCAGGTGGCCATGTCAATGTGGAAGAAAGATGGGCAGAAAGCCCCGGGGGTCCTTTTAGAGAATCACACAGAGGAGGGCAGAGGAAGACTCAGGAAGTGGGGTGGGAGCCAGAGGAAGCAGCTACTTCCTTCTCCTTGGGGAAGTTTGGGAGGGAGAGGATGAACTGAGAGGCTGTGGAATTTAGAACAGGGGAGTTGGCCTGTTGGGTAGACAGAGGTGCAGGAAAGAATGGAGTTTAAGAAGTGGTGGGGTAGAGGGGGAGTGCAGGGGTGGGAGGCCAGAAGTTTTGGTCTCTGATGTTTTGGAGCTAAAACCTGGAAGAACAGCATCATGGTCTCCTCCTTCCTTGACGGAGGAAGCAGCTTGAAGTAGGCTGTTCCTGGGTGCTTCTCACTGGAAGGGGACAGGAATGTGGTTGAAGGACAGGGCAGAGCCTGATCCAAATTGTGGCCCAGCACCACTGAGTAAATGAAGTGGCAGTGTGGAGGGGAGAGCCAAAGGTGCAGACTCTTGGCCCTTCTCCGGGCTGTGTGAGGCAGAGCTGGGCAAAACCCAGCCCCATCACGAGGGGCAAGGAAGGAGAGGCAGGTGCACCTGTGTGCCAAGGTGAGATGGTGCCAGGCACTGAGGGCTGACTCCACAGTGAAGGGAGGAAGATCAGCAGGGGTGGAGGAGACGGTTTTCTATGCTATCAGGAAGGGAAGTAGAGCGGCCGCCAGGAAGATGTCAGGAAGAAAGAGGAAGGGTGTGTGCTGATCCCCAAAAGGAAAAAGCAGCTGAATTTAGCAGCTGGAGGGATGTGAAGGTCAAAAGTTTCAAGGAATCCCAAGGAAGCTCAGGTTGCAGGCCAAGAAAGAGGTTCTGCACTGTCTCGCCTCGTTGCATGGGCCTCTGATACCCAACCTGAGTCCTGGGACCTCTGTGGACCTAGGAGTCATGGGGTAGGGAGGTGGACTGGTTCAGAACCTGGCTCTGCCACTTTGTAGACATGTGACCTTGGGAACTTTGCCTCTGTGCCTTATTATCACCATCCATAAAATGGGAACAACTCCACCTTAGAAGGTTGGTCTAAAGATTAGACAATGCATATATAGTATTCAGAACAATGCTGGCATACACTCAGAGATCCAAATTTTTGTTATTCAGTGACTTTGCTCCCAGTGGAGGGGGAATGTAGAGGGCCTGGTTGGGAGAGAAGGCATCTGCCCCTCATTTTGGGCCAGGACACAGAGCTGCAGCCCTCCCCACTGCCCTAGACCAGGGACAAAGTTGGAGGGAAAGACTTCACAGCACTCCACCCCCAGACTGCTACTGGGAAAGGCTTGTCCCTCTGGGAGAGTTGGGGGCAGGAGGGTTGGACAGGAGCTGGGACTTCCCCTGCTCCACATCAAACATCCTGGGTTTTCCAGGGCAATCCAGATTTCAAAGCCTCTGCTCCCTGGTGCCATTACCGGCAGCAGAACTCACCACCCCGTGTCCCTTAAGTCCAATCACTGCGAATCCAGAGCCCCATTCTGAGGCTGCATTCCTAGCAAATGACTCTGCCTGGCCAAGGAGATGGCTACTTTGTCAAGGGCAGAGGGAATAGCCTAGTACTCACCTAGCCTAGGGCTGAGAAAAAGCCAGGGAACGGGAAAGGCAGGGGGTGGCCACAACCCCCAACCTTGAGACAGATGTCTTGTGGGGTCGGGGTGACAAACGGTGCTTCAGAATTTACATACAGCTTCCGTTTTAAAAATCTCCCGGGACGGGACCAGGCCCCTTCCCTGTGCCAGCCAGCCCAGTTCCGAGTTGTGGCTCTAACCGGGCATGGGGGCTGCAGGGGGCAGCTTCTGGGCCCCCCCTCCCTGCCGGGATTCCGGGGCTGCAGCTGTCAACGGCTGATTCCTAGTGTTGGAAGGACACTGCCCAGGCCCTGCTTCCCCACCTCAGGGCTGGCGCACCCCACCCTCCGCCTGACAGGGGGAAAGCCAACTGCCCAGAGGACGTGGTGGGAGGGACCTCAAGGACAGCTTTCCAGGGTGTCCTGGGGGTGCGGGGGACCCCTGCAGGGGAAGGGGCGGTGCTAATTGACCAGTGGCTCTCAGGTAGGTAAGCGCTCTTTCTCGCAGTTACAATCTGAACAGGGTCCCCAGGCTGCTCCGATCCCAGGGGACAGGCCGCCCCCACTCCCCCGGAGAAACCTGGGAACCCCATGGACAGCCAGGTCCCGGGGCCCGGCCCTCCCAGCGCCCCACCAGGTCCCGGCGGAGGGGTCCCGCGGGCAGAATCAGCCGGCTGCTACGCCCCGGTCGGGGCTGGGTGGGGCCCGACTGCTCAGCCGCTGAAGCCCCGACTCACCCGCCTGGCGGAGGCAGGATCCCGGTGTCGCCCCAGCGCCCGGGGCTCGGCCCGGCCCGGCACGGCCAGCCGGCGGGAGGCAGCTCCACGCCACCGCCTCCTCGGCTCGGCCCGCCCCGTGCCCGCCCCTCCCGCACACTTTCCACAGGAAATGATTAACTCGAGCAGCGGCGCGTTCCCATGGCAACCTGCTCTGACTGGTGGGGGGGGTGCCAGTGGTGCGCGCGCATTCATTCGAAGGCTGGTGCTCACACGCACACCCGCACACCCGCACGCGCTGGTGCACGCGTGTGCACTCACCGTCTGGTGCATACATACCGGCACGTGTGCTGGTGCCTTCCTGAACACGCCCGTGCCCGCGACTACCAACACATGCCTGTCCACGTGCCCTCACACTCAGTGCAAGGGAACACTTGGGCTTCCTCGTGCACACCCACCCCAGGCGGTACGTTTGTAACAATGTTACCCTTACACTAGTACACACAGCTCCAAAATCAAGAGTACAAAACTTTGTCCCACTGCAGCTGGTACGTGCACACACTTTGTTTCTCATATCCTCACTCTAGGATGGTTTCTTCCCATCCTAGCACACACACATATGCACTTGCTCCGGAAACTGCACATGTACAGGCGCACTCACACTGCTGTGCAAATACAAGCTCTCACCAGCTCCAGCGCCCAGCTTAGGCAGGCTTCCTTCCCAGCCCCGGTGCTTCCTTGCCCCATCCCAGCAAAGGAACATCATCCAGGAACAGGGAAACTGCTGGGGTTTGTCCCGGTCAAACATGCCCTTAAGATCCAGCGAAAACACCTGGGAGCCTCGGGAAAGGCCTAGGGGAGAGCAGGGAGCCTGCCAGCCAAGAGGGACAGCTGACCGGAGGAGCCTTTCTGTTCTTTGTCTCTGAAACAGAGGCTGCATTTTATTCCAGCGTCAGCAGCAGTATGCCCCTCCAGGGTGCGGAAGGAGGAGAAAGAAGGCGCTCAGAAGCCAGCCCAGTGCAGGCTGATGCTACCGCAGATAACCAGAGAGGGTGGGTAGGGGGATGGCCCAAGAGGGGCAGGCCCGGGCTGGAGGTGGCCCCGTAGCTCTGTCAGGTCTGCCTCCTGCTGCTGCCCAGGCACTGGGCTGGCAGTCAAGAATCTGGACTGAGACAGCCAACGGCCTGGGCCTCAGGGCGTCCTGGAGGCCAGGCCAGGACAGTTGCAATTCTCCAGCTGGAACGGGGCTAGTGCGTGCTTTATTTTCCAAGATTCTTGAGAGAAGTCCTGATAGAGGGCAAATGTCACGCTCCTGGAATGGTTCCTTGGAGAGTTAGACTTCCCGCTGAGAACTGGGAGCGCCTTCCTGGTGGGAGGAAGGGCCTTGAATTCCCTGCCCACCCTCCAGACAGCAGCGGTCAGTGGGACTGCAAGGTTGGGTGGAGGAGAAACTTCTCAAGCTTTCTGACCAACTAACTCCCTTTAGTTGGTTGGGGTGTTGGGGGGCGTCTGTCTTTAAAGTTTCAGAATAAAACCAGAGGTCTTGTCTTACTTGAGGGTCAGTACACTGATATTAACAACAACAAAAAAGATATTTTAAATTAATAACATTTATTGTTCTTTTTTTCTCTGATTACAAAATAGATATTCATTGAGACCATAATCCCACCCGTTGGACTTAAATGCTGCCAACACTTCACTACAGACATATTTTTTTTCCTGTGCACATAATAGATACCATTTATTCAAAGCCAAACACCGTGCCTGGCGCTGAGCTCTTTATAAACAAGATCCTATTCAACCCTGATCACCCTATGAGGTGGAGACCATCATATCCCCATTTTTTTCAAGAGAGGAAACTGAGCCTGAGAAAGTTCATTCATAGTGTGTGTCAGAGCTGAACCATGAGCTCAAGAGCCCTCGTGGACATAAGGAGGAGCTTATTAAGATCAAAGAACCAGGGCTGGGGCTATAGCTCAGGGGTGGAGTGCTTACCTGCCATGTGTGAGGCACTGAGTGGGATCCTCAGCACCACATTAAAATAAGTAAATAAAAAGGTATTGTGTCCATCAAAGCATCAGAAGGAAAAAAAGAAAATGGAGCCATTACGAGGATGCACTTCTGAAATTTTAGCAAAACTCTGGCTTAAAATGTAAAAACTAATTATTCAATGATTGTTAGAATTAAAGAATGCACCGAACTTGGACAGGTTGGAGCTCAGTGGCTTTGGCCTTGACCCTTCCTGTCCACCTTCTGTTAGAGGCATTGCTGTCTCAGGGAGGGGCAGACAAAATGCAGAGACCAGAACACTGCATACCCTCGTCTACCCTGTTCTCCAGACACGAGTCAGCAGGGCCATCTTTATGCTCAAAGGGCCTGAAACCCTCCACATCTCACATCTCCATCAGAGAAGCAGCCAAAGGCCAGAGAGTTCTTTTCCCCAGAGGGAAGCAAGAAGAGGAATGAAAAACCAGACTATGTTTGATCTGCCCCTCATGGCAAGCCAGAGTCCAGCACAGATAAGATGAACATGACTTTCCAGTTTTAACAATTTCACTTAAGATCCATTCACCCCCAGGCTTTGGCAAGTGCCTTCCTCCCTGCCCAGAAGGCCTCTCACCTTCACCTGCTTGCACCTGCCTCCACTCACCTTTATCTGACCAATTCCAGCCTGTCTTTCAAGTTTCTGAAAGCTTAGAGACCAGCCAGCATCCTTGACCCTCCCAGGCACCCTAGGCAGCCTCCCCACCCAGCAGTGCATTGGCCTTTTCCTACCCACGCCACCCCCTCCCTCAGCTGGGCCCTTTCCTGACATGGACAGGGAAAACCAGAGCACGGGGCACAGTGTCACATGCATGCCACCAAAGAAACTCTGGTCACGTAGAGTTCAGAGGCAAACAGGATGCACGGAATGGATCTGAACAGACCATTCCCACGTGAACTAATGACACTTCCTACCAAAAGGAAGGGAGAAAAGGGTCCTTAGGCAATTATTTTAGCATGGCCAGTTAGGAACACCCTGTGGCTACAAAGGGTGCTTATCCTTTCGTGATCCTGAGTGAGACTTTATTTTTTCCTTGGAGATGGGACTCCCTATGTTGTCCAATTTGGCCTCTAACTCCTGGGTTCAAGCAATCCTCCTGTTTCAGCCTCTCAATTAACTTGGACCGCAGCCCCATGCCACTGTGTTCAGCTAATAGTTTCTTAACCTGAGAGAACATTCTGTAGTTAAGAGTCCCATATTAAGGGCCAGGTGGCAGTGGCGCAGCCAGTAATTCCTGCAACTTGGGAGGCTGAGGCAGGAGGATCACAAGTTCAAGGCTAGCCTCAGCAACTTAGCAAGATCCTTGCCTCTAAATAAATAAATTAATTAAAATGCCCCTAGGTTCAATCCCCAGTACAAAAAAGAAAAAAGTCCATATCAAGTAATCCTGACTCCATCAACTGCTAGTTAGAACCTGTGTCTTCCAATAGCCCTGAACTGTCCATCAAGAACACCCAAGAAACACCTGGAGAAGACACCATGGAGGTCAGAGCCACTTGCACTCAGCTTCACAAGCACTAAGTTTGATTGCCAGCTTTGCCCTCCCCAGCTCCAGGGCTCTGAGCCTTTTTGGAGGACAGACCCTAACCTCACATCTGCTAGCTTTCAGGAAGCTGTCCTTCTCAGGATGTGAAGGTGCAGGGGTCTTTAGAAGAACACAAGTTCCTCTAGCCCTTGTCTGCTGCAGACTTTTCTTGCAGGCACTGGGGACTCGGTGGATATTTGGACAAATTACACCTTGCACCTTTCTCTCCCCGTCCCCTTCCTGCTCTGAGCTCCCTCCTTTCTAAAAGGTATATTAACTGGAAACAATTCTTCCATTTTCAGAAGTCCCTGCAGGGAGTCAAAGCAATCCTCCCCCAATCAAACCACCTTGCCCCAGACAGTGGCTGCCTTTCTGCATTTCCCCAGGGGCTGGACTTAACAGAGCTGCCCCTACTCTCAGATGAGGGGAACCCAAAACCTATTTATACCAGGAGGAGGAATTTGGCAGAGATTCTTTCCCTGGGCACCCCGAGGGGGAAAGCAAACAGAAGCTTTTTTTCCCCCTTTATCATTTCCTGTAGTTTAAAAAAAAACAGGAGAGGAATGCAAACATGCAGGAGATAATGTATTTAAGCACCAGGTAATAAAAAGATTTAGCAAGAATGGCCAGGGGAGCCGCACAGCCAGATAAGCCCCGCCCCCTGTCCCTTCCCCTGCCACGCCCCCGCACCGACTCAGTCTTGACGACCGTCCAAAGCTGCCCGCCTCTGCGCTGGATCTGCAGGGCTTCGCTTCCTGTCCCTAACTCTGTCCTACCCCTCATCTAAGCCGATGCCCCTTTCCCTCGGTCCCCATTTTCTCGTTCTTTTCTCCCCATCTGGGTTTTCTCTGTTTTGCTGTGCTGGGGATGGGATCTAGCCCTCCCCCACCCCCACCCCATGCTAGGAAAGTTGGCTTTTTGGTTTTTGTTTTGGGGTTTTTTTTGTTGTTGTTGTTCTGTTTCGTTTTGGTTTGGTTTTAGAGAGGAACTAACTACATTGCCCATTTTGATCTCAAACTCCCGGGCTCAAGGGATCCTCCTATGTCAGCTTTCCGAGTAGCTGGGAGCCCAGGCATGTGCCATCATGTCCACAAAAGACCAAAGTGGGTTTTTCTGCACCAATGAATTAGAAACCAACAAAAGAAAAAGCCCCCAGATCTCACTACCTTAACTTAAAGGCATCGGACCAGATTTTCTTTCGGGTAACTGATCTTGGGCAGACATGCTTCTACAGTTAAAAGAGGCGGTAGGAAGCATCAGTTGCCAGGTGTGGGGACACATACCTGTATTCCTCAGCTCAGGAGGCTAAGGCTGAGTCAGGGGGATCGAAAGTTCAAGGGCAGTCTCAGTGATTTAGCAAGACCATAAGGAATTTAGCGAGACCCTGTCTCTATATAAAAAATAAAAAGGGCTGGGGATGCAGCTTAGTGGTAGAGTGCCTCCATGGTTCAATTTCAATTTCCACATACACCCCAAAAAGGGCAGGGTGAGAAAACAATGGTTATTACTGGGCTTGGGGTCAGGTTGTGAGCTTGAACCTGGTTCAGCTGCTTCCTCAGTGCCTGGTTTCCTCCCATGAACTTGGGGCTACGAGGAGTGCCTAATCCACTGGGTTGCTGTGACATAATTTAGAGTAAGCATGAAACACTCTTATCATCTGGCATTCGATGACTTTTTCAAGAACACAAGCTGCAGTTGGTGAAAAGCAGATTAGACAGAGTTTTCTACTCTGGCCAGGCCTGGTGGCTCATGCCTGTCACCCAGCAGCTTGGGAAGCTGAGGCAGGAGAATTCAAAGTCCAAAGCCAGACTCTTAGCGACTTAGTGAGGCCCTAAGCAACTTAGAGTGACCCTGTTTCAAAATTTAAAAAAAATAAAAGTTGGGGTTGTGGCTCAGTGGTAAAGCACCCTGGTTCAATCCCCAGTACAAAAAAAAAAAAAAGAAATTTCTACTATGCCTATTCTCACTTTATATCCCATAATAAGTACTGTCTGCATTGCTTTTTCCTCCTTAGGCCTGCTCTTTTCTGCAGTCCCCAGGCTGAGGCTGGGACCCCATGCAGCACTGGGGTCCTATTGAACAGTCCCTGTTTTACATGGCCGCATAATATTCCACTGAGTGGCTCTTCCTGACTGAGCTGACCCTGCCACAGGCTTAGAGTTAAACAGCTTCCACTTTTGCACTTTATAAACAGCATTGCCACCTCCTCCCCCACAAAACACACACTGCACAAGTCCATGCACTCCCTGGGGGGGAGGGGAGGGAGCCAAAGGTCTGTCAATTTCACAAAATCTTTCTGAACAGAGTCGGAGCGTTTTTGTTTTCATTTTCTATGTTGCCAGATTGCCCTGGGAAGGGCTGTACCCAATTTACACCATCCTTGGCCGCATGTTTGCATGAGAACGACTTTCCATGCTGAGTTACAGCTTTTCTCTGGGATCTGGAATCCATACCCTGGCTGGCTCTCCTGCGAGGCACATACGGAGATGCCTGAGTGACGGCTGTCAAGAGAGGGGAGTGGCTGGCTCTGCCTGGGAGCATTTGTCAGCTGGGTGGGGCCAGGTGGGGTCCTGCCTGCTCTTAAGCCCCCAGCTACTTCCCAGGTGGGTCCCCCCACCCTGCTGTCAACCCCTGGGAGGATCGTCCACTGTGCTCCGACATCACTTCTGCTCTCCCCCGTCCAGGCCCTGGATGCTGGCATCTGGCAATAAGTGAATCAGTCACTGCTGGAAAGAAAATCCCTGAGAGGTGGGGTCAGGGGAGTCCCCAGGCCAGGGAAGCCCAGAGCTCTGAGAAAACCACAGCCCAGCCCCCACCACCCCCTCGCCTCTCAGCACTGTCCCTGCCCTTCCACTGTGGCGTGGGTGGCCCTGGCCAGCACCATGGTAGCCAGGCTGGGCCGGCCTCCTGGCCTCCTGCTCTGGGAGTGGCCCGTGTTTGCAGATGGCAACGGAAGTTTTGACGCTGATGATCCACCAGCCACCCACGGCTCTCTCTCTCCTGGTTCTTAGTCATTCTCACAAGGCTCAACCGCCCGGCCACCCCACGGACGTCACAGCATCCAGGTGACAGGGAAGAAGGGAGCAGGATCGCTGTGGCTTCGGTGGCTTCCCGGAGAGGGGAGGGTAAGGAAGGGTTGAACTTCCAGCCACCCAAACAACCAGAATGTGCAGGGCCTCGAACACCAGGGTGGGGAGGCCACTTGTGTGTCGAGCACGGGGCAGACTCTTTACCGGCATGTGGCCACACCACGTGTGGCTGGCATTGTTCCCGTTTTAAAGGTGGAGAAACTGAGGTTCTGCATTACGAGCAGGGCCAGGGAGGCCCACGACTGAGTGGGGAGCCACTCTGGAGGGCAGCCGGGAGTGCTGGATGTGACAGGGCCGCTGTGTCCTGGGACAGAGTTCTTCTCTGTCCCCTCGAGCCCCTCCCTGGGTAATTGAGCAGGGTGGGCTATTTGCAGCACTTCAGCCTGGAGGAAGTGAGCAGGCCACTCGGAAGGGATGACTAGCTCTGGGGAGGAAGGAGGCCACAAGAGAGGAGATCTGCAGAGGCTGGCCTCAGCCACCTTGGGAGTCGGGCCCGTCCCCAGTCATCCCCTGTAGCACCCGCACTCCAGAGCCGCAGAGAGGTGTTCATGTGAGGCCACCCAAGTAACAGGTCCTGGGGTCGGTGGCCCCTGGTCTCCTCAGAACTGAAGGGCAGGTGCTTGTGGGGCTGGAGGAGTGGCTGGAAGGTGTGGGAAAATGGGCGGAGCCAGAGCAGGTGAGACCCTGCGAATCAGAGCCAGGTGCTGCTCAGCCGAGGGCCTGGGACCCCGGGTCTGGCCAGGGCCTGCCCAGTTGCCCCCCTGAACCGTCGGCCTCTACCCTGAGCCAGAGGCACAAGTAAGTGCGGGGCATCCACAATGAGGGCAAAATAGACCAGTAAGAGGCAGGAGCTCATTCCACTCCTGCTGCTAGGGCCACTTGGGCTGAGAGAGGAGGGTCCCAGCTTCCTGCCAACCTCCCCAGCAGGCGTCCAGGACACCCCGCCACCAGGCCTCTCCTCCACCCAGGAGTGTCCGCCCCACCCCGCCTCCTGGGCAGGTGGCACCAGATGGCCCCATCCTAGGTGAACCCAGGGGGTTCACTCCAGCCACCTCCTGGAGACCGAGTGCCACAGGCAGTCATTCAGGTTCCACCCTGCGCCCAAGTGAGCCTGCAGCCTGGGCCTGTCCATGCCCAGGACCCTCCTGCAGCAGCACTGCCCACCGGGTGGGTTCTGCCTCCTCACGAAGAGACCCAGGGACCATGGAGCTCAGGGCGGCTGCAGCCCCACAGCCAGAGACTGGACTGAATGCTCCCAGGGTGGTGGCCACAGGGTGCCCAGCAGAGGCAGTGGGGGTTTGGGCTGCCTCAGCCCCCAGCTGTGAGACAGGCTGGCCCCAGTCCAGTTCTTACCCCTGCACCACACTGCCTCTCGGGGTAGTCAGGGGTCCGTGTCCCACAGGTCACTCCTGAGCATGCGTCCAAGGCTTGTCACCACCTGCCTGCAGCCACCCTGCACGGCCTTCCTAACATTCGCCCTCCTCAGGACACCCTCTCGCAGAGCCTTGAATTCACCACGTTCCCACCTGCTGTCCTTGTGCCTGTGGTTACCTTCATGACGACAGCCCGGGCACCTTGAGACCCACCACTTCTGTGGGGCCTTCCTGACACTGCCCCATCAGAAGTCCTCAGGATCACTTACCCTCCCCGTAGCTCACTAGCACTTGAAGGGTGAAAAATGTTGGGAACATGTTAGTCTTCTCAATTCAGACTCCCATGCTGTGTGACTTTGGGTAAGGCATTTAACCTCGTTGTACTACATTGTCCACATAGGTACTATTTATTGAGCACTTACTATGTGCCAATGACAAGGTACCTAGTACTTTATGTGCATGATCATATTTACCCAGACACAGCGATTACCTGTTTCCCAGCTACTTGGGGGACCGAGACAGGTGGATCACACGTTTGAGGTCAGCCAGAGCAATTTAGATAGATCCCGTCTCAAAATAAAAAATAAAAAGGGCTGGGTATGGTACAGCACCCTTGAGTTCAGTCCCCAGTACCAGGAGAGAAAAAATAAACAGAGAAAAACAGCTGCCACCATTATGGTCATTTGCTCTTGTTTCTGTCTCCCACCCAGCCTAGCGACGAGCAGCACTGAAACTCCATTACAGGTAGGTATGGACGTGAGTGGGAGGGGCTGGGACAGGAAGGAGTTCCAGAGTCACCGCCCTGCACATGCCCCAGAATGCTCGGGGGCAGTCCTGTCCTGGCTGGGGCAGTACCGTCAGAGCCTATTGCTGACAGACAGTGGTGGCAGGGGACCTGGAGGTGACCTACTCTCACTTCTCCCATCGACCCTGTCATCACCCATAGAAAACAGACTGTCCCAGCCGAAACCAAGTTCTATGGCCCTGGGAGGCGGACTGGAAGCAGCATTTGTGCAGTTGGTGACCAGCGTGGATTCTGGGTTGTTTTTGCCAGTTCAAGGCCACAGGGACAGATGCCCTGCCTCCCTGTGTGCCAGCCCGCCCCAGTATTTTCGAGAATACCTGGCCCCTCCAGACATCTCCCAGAAGCCCCAGGGGCTGTTTTCAAGGTTCTTTGCCATCACCTCCAACCTAGCTGAGCAGGGTCCACATCCCACCTCGCCCGCCCCCTCTACCAGGATGCCCTCAGGGATGCCAAGACCAGCCTGAGCCCCGCTGAGCATCCTGCACTGCACTGCACTCGGGTGCGGCAGAAGAGGGGAGTCAGGTCCCCTCCCTCCATCCTGCCCCGCCACAGCTCATCCAAATTCTTGTGGCATCTCCGAGTTCTTCTTTCTCATCACAAAATCCCAACCACCCCGGACGCGTCTCCTTGCACTTCCCCTACCGCAGGCACACATTCAGTGCCCGGCACCTGGAGCGAACCTGTGCCCCCGCGTGGGCCCCGGTGACCAATTGTGCACGGACTGGCCAGGCTATCCCTGCTGCAAATGGACGACGATACCCCTGCACCTCAGCTGGGGTGAAGCGTTCGGGAGCCCTGACCCTTTTCTCCCCCGAGGTCCTCTCCATCCTGATGTAAACCGGTGGCTGTGACCAGGCACCCACAGGAAAGGGGGCGCCAAGCCCTCCTCCCCACGGATCTGAGCCATTGGATCAGATACTTGTAGATGTTGGAGGAATGCACCTGAGATGTTGGGGAGAAGGGAGGAGAGGGAGCCCCCATTCTTCGTAAGTCCTTAAAACGCTCCCCTTCATAGATGGGAAAATGGAGCCCTAAAAGAAGATCAGTCCAAAGAAAGTGCCAAAACCAGGTACTCCGAGCCGAGGAGCGTGGAAGGAACCCACCATGACACCCCTCGGCCTAGCCCAGAAGGGGTGACCATCCTAGAGGAGGTGGGGAAATGGAGCCAGGTCTTTGGCCCTCCCAGGTCTTGGGCTGCCAGGGGCCCAGGCCTCCCTCCCTCCCTCCCTCTTGAGGCCCTGGGAGACCCACTTTGGGTCTCTGAGCAGGAGCTGGGCAGAGAATCCAGGGTTTTGGCCGCCACAGGGGAAACCTGGGCTCAGAACTGCCGCGTGAGTCATGCCTACCCGGGGAGCAGCTGACGCTCCGTCTGCGCCTTACAAAACCACAACAGGCTGCCGAGTGACAGCCGGCTGCCCGAGTGTCGAGGAATGCTGTTGCCAGACAGGTTTCCGAGGCCCCTGCGAGCGGGCTCCAAAGAGCAGACCTGGGCTGCTGCCACGCAGGCGGCAGGCACAGGCCAACTCACCCCTCCTCACCGCAAGGACCCCTCAACCTCAACATAGCCCCCTGCCAGGAGTCCCTGAAGCCAGCCACCACTCCTAGGGCAGCCACCGCTTCCAAGCCAGCACTAAGTGAAGACTGTGACTTGGGGCAGCCACCCCCCCAAGCAAGAGTGGGGGCCAGGAAGGTTGAAGGGCTCCCCACTCCTGACAAGTCTGCCATCACCACAGACCTCCCTGCACCATAAATAAGTTCCTACTAAAAATGGTAACAGCCGTGACACTGACAAGCCCTCACACAGCGCTCACTGTGGCCATGCCTGGAATTGCAGCACTGAGCACTTTTGCTGCGTGTGTATTAGTTTCACTGTGGCTGCTGTAATAAAATGACCACAAACTGGATGTAAGCTTAAAATAACAGAAATGTCAGCGGGTGCTATGATACACACTTGCAATCCCAGCTACTCAGGAGGCTGAGGCAGGAAGATTGCCTAGATCCAGGATATATTTGTGTTGGTTTTTATTTTTGTTTTTGTGCTGGGATTGAACTCGGTGGCACTCTACCGCTGAACTACATCTCCAATCCTCCCCCTCCCCCCAACACTTTTAAATTTTATTTTGAGACAGGGTCTTGCTAAGTTGCCAAGGCTGGCCTTGAACTTGTGATCCTCTTGCTTCAGCCTTCTGAGTCATTGGGATTACAGGTGGGCTCCATGGTGCCCATCTGATTAACAGGGCTTGTCCCCCCCAGGTCCAGCACACTCCACAAGGGGATCTAACGGAAACACCTTCTGAGGCCTTCTGAGCTGGCAGAGGCTATCTGCCTGGTGTGATCTATGACACTGTTGTGTTTCCTGATAACACCCAGCTCGGCTTCTCCTGCCAAGCTCATAAAAGGTACGTAAAGCTGCGGCTTGGTTGACCTCACCAGGTACCAGCGCCATCCTGACTGTCTTTCCCAGCTGCAGGGCCAGCTGTGTGAGTGGATACGGGGTGGAGAAAATCCAGCTCAAGAATCCACAAGTTCTTACCGCGGAGCTGAGCAGGGGCTCGGGGAAGACAGCACGGGCCGGTGGGCGCTGTTCTCAGGGCTCCCAATGCAGCAGGTGCCCAGTCCTCAGCCCTGGGTTGGCCGGGCCCCAGGCAGAACCCAGCATTTTCTCACTTAATTCTCACAAGGGCCCCACTAACAAGGTGACATCCATTTTTCCAGATAAGGAAGCTCATTCTGCTGGCTGGAAGCCAAACTAGAACTTGGTCCCAGCTCTGCCTGGGCCTTGGCCTATAACAAGGGCACTCGTGGAGGGCGGGAGGCCCCCGGATGGGGAGCACCTTAGAGGATGGAAGACTCGAATGGGGCCGAGGGAGGACAGGGCTGAGGATCAGGAGACTAGGGCACATGATGTGGCCCAGGCAGGAAGGTGGGACCACCTGTCTGGACGCTGCCACTGGCAGCCACAGTCTTAATATGCAAAGAGACTGCGTTGCCTTCCAATTTGAAAAGCCTGCATGGCTTTCCATGAAGCTGATGACAGAATCCAAAATCCTTCTATGATCAACAAGGCCCTGCAAGGACAGCCAGCAGTCTCCCCCTCAGCTCAGCTCCAGCCACACTGGCCCCTTCCTGCTCCCCAGACATGCCACTGGGCCTTTGCACTTGCTGTTCCCTGTACCTGCAGTGCCCTTCCCTCAGCTCCACAGCATCGCAGCTCAGGGGTCCCCTCCTCAGAGTAGCCTTAGGGTGGGTGGCCCCCATTACTCTCCATCTTACCTCCCCACTTTGTTATCTTCCTCCTACTCACTTCCACCTGCAATAATCTGTGTATGGACCACCTGTTCCTTAATTGTCCTTGTCCCATGAAGGTGAGGACTTGCTCTTGTTCCTGGTGACCTCAGCACCCCTCACTGTGACGCACACATAGCAGGTCCTCAGCAGATAGTCACTGAATGAATAAATGGACGAATTCAATAGAGAATGCAGAGTCACAGACAGATCGCAGACAAACAGACACTGGGACCCTGGGCTGGCGGGAGGAGGTGGAGAGGGGAGTGGCCTGGGAGAGCAGGGGGCAGCTGGGCCAAGCCTGGAGGACTTCCTGGAGGAGAGTGGCCCAACCCTGTGAGGGGATGCCTGGCTCTGGCTGCAGCACTGACTGGGGCAGAGCCCCTTAGTCCACATCGTCCTGCCCAGCCCATAATTGCAACCTGGGTTAAGAGGCAGAGGTTTCAAAGTGAATCTTCACCCTGTGATTCTCTGTGCCCATTTGCTGGACTTCTCCATGGTTCTGAGGCTAACTGCCCCTTGCCTCTTGCAGGCCTGGGGAAAGCAAAAGGCCAGCCCTGTGTCTCCAGGTGCCTGCGGGGGGCAGGGGTGTCCTGAAGGGTAGGGGAGGGCTAAGGGCCCCGAGGACAATTGGTAGGCCTGAGAGTTCCAGAAGTAGACAGGAACTAAATCACCAAGAAATTCTCTAAATCACCAAGAAATTCTCTAAATCACCAAGAAGTTCTTCAGGGCACCAGAGCCCAGGGGTTCAGAAAATGTGCTCTGGGGTTGACATCAGGGCCACTTCTCAGTGGCCAAGCAACCTCAAGCTAGCCCCTTGACCTCTCTGGGCCTGCACAGAAAGAAGATAAGCCCACACTTGTCCTGCAAAGGATTGCTGGAGGATGAATGAGCCAAGGCACACAGGAGGCGCTCAATACATGCAGCACTTCTTAGGGGCCGGTTATGTGCCCGAGTACTGTGGGAGGCACCTTCATTCTGAGAAATAGTGGCCTGGCCTCTTCAGAAGTGTCAATGTCATGAAACACACAGAAGCCCTCAGGGACTGCTCCAGATGGAAGGAGACCGAAGAGAGACAAGTGCTCACAAAACCTGAGTGTGAGCTTCTGTTTGCCTCAGAGGACACTCTTGGGACCACTGGCAAATCCCCGTGTGGACTGACAGTGCGATGGTCATGGGGTTTTGACATTCATTTCCTGATTCTGATGGTTGCACACTGGTTATCAGAGAGAACGTCTTGCTTTTAGGGACACACGCTGACGGATTTGAGGGGAGCGAGGCAGGTGTGCGTCCTCCTCTTGAATAGTTCAGGGGAAGAAAAAATGTTAACATGAAAGTAGTCACCGGTTAACGCTCGGGAAAAAGTTAAAAGAAATGGTGGAGGAGGGTATTTGGGAATTCTTTGTATTATTTTTGCAACTTTTCTGTAATTATAAAAGTCGAGAGAGAGAGAGAGAGAGAGAGAGAGAGAGAGAGAGAGAGAGAGAGAATATGAAAAATAGAGGAAATGCATGACCCCTCTCTTGAAAGGTCACAGAGACCTGGCAGGAGGGCATATCTTTCTGGTGGCGGGCCTCCAGCAAAGGTGACCATTAACCTCTGACGTGATGCTACAAGTGGAAAATCCCACACCTGACCTCATGTGACGAGTCACAGAGTGTAGATGCGCTAAAAATGTCAAAATTGCTCAGGAGTCTGAGACTGCAGGATTGCAAGTTCAAGGTCAGTCTGGGCAATTTAAAGAGACCCTGTCTCAAAATAAAAAATACAAAGGGCTGGGGATGTAGCTCAGTGGCGGAGCACCCCTGAGTTCAATCCCTAACATTGCAAAATAAAAAAAAATAAGGAAATAAATAAATGTCATTCATACATACACACACATATGTATGCCTACATGTATACACACACACACACACACACAATTACCTTTAAGCCATGTGTATAAGGTATATCTGAAGCAAAAGAATTTCCTGTTTGGTTACCCTCTCTAAAAGATCTCATTATATATATGCAAATATTCTAGAATCTCCCCAAACCCTGAAATGTGAAACACTCTGATCCCACAACACTCTGGTTGAAGGGATCCTCAACCTGCAGATGAATGCAGCAGGTGCCTAATGAACCTCCAGTGCCCCACGTGAGTGAGTCTCTCTGCTGTGGGGGCGGGGATGGTGTCACCAGGGCTACACCCTCGGTCAGGGCCACGGCAAGTACGTAGGCCAAGGATAGACTGGACACCAAGAGCTGGGCCAGCAACTTCCTGACAAAATAAGGTGTTCCCTGCAAACTAACAAGGTCCCGGGTGGCCAGGAGGCCCTTGGCTGAGGTGACCCGAGGCCCCGTGGGTGGAATGAGGCAGGCAGAAGGGGAGGCCAGCGCTGTCCAGGCCCTCGGGCAAATAGCTAACCTGCATCTGCAGCCCACTGGGCCCTGGCGGCAGCGGGACCCCACCCCAAGGATGAATGAACAGTGACCGTGGCCAAGGAATGTGGCCTACAGCGCAGAGCAACGCAGCCCAGCCCGGCCTAGCCCAGTCTGCCTGGCAGGTTGTGGCCCAGCCCCTGCGGGCCACCTCAGGCTGCTGGGCCTCACGGATGACCTCCTGGGGCCTCCCCTCCTGTGACCTGTCCAGGGGCGAGCGTCACACCTGAGTGGGTGGAGAGGTGCTGTCTTCAGTCCCATGACTCACCATCCGCTTCTCTCCCCTCCAGACGCAGGGTGTCAGGGCTACAGCAAGGGTTGTCCCCAGCCTGGAAGGACTCCCAGGAGGGAAAGTGGGGCTTGCACTCGAGCTTTGGGCTCCATTCATGAAAGCCGAGAAGCGTGTGATTACCAGAGGATACGAGCTTGCCTGCGACAAGCTGCTAAACCCCAGGAGCAGGACGCCACTCCACTTAACACCCGCGGCTGCCGCGGGGCCAGCAGTGACTCAGGCCCTGACCTCGGCCGCCTGCTTAATTTAGAGCAGTGGCAGCTGCCCCCCTCCCAAAATTAGCTGCCCTGTTCAGCCTCGGTCCTGCCACTCACGGGCCTCTGAGCGCCGGCACTTTGGAAATCCAGTGGGCACAGGGCTCTGGGAGGTGTTCTCCACCCAAGTTCAAGTTCAAGTAGTACCAGCTTTGGTGGGAAGTCACTCTCCTCCTCCCACTCACCTCTGGCCTCCATCGCCTCCTCTGAGACTATCACAGCCACCAGGCCCAGGGATCCCTCCCAGGCACAGTCCCCATTTATAAGTTGACACTAAAAAGTTTCACAGCACTTCATTTCCACTCTTAACCCCCAGGAGCCTCCGCGTCCCACATACAGACACCTTGGTTTCCTCCCTCCTTGTTTTTTTCTTTGCAGTGCTAGGGTTGAACCCAGGGCTTCATACATGCCGGGCAAACCCTCTACCACTGAGCCATATCCCCTACCCTCCTTTATTTTTATTTTGAGACAGGGTCTCACTAAGTGGCCCAAGCTGGCCTCGAACTTTCAATCCTCCCGCTGCAACCTCCCAAGCTGCTGAGATTACAGGCGTGCACTATCACTTCCAGTGGCTGTGCTTCTTTCAAAGAGTGAACTTCTCCAGCTGATTTCACCAGTTCCCTTGACACGGATAATTGAGTTATTTCGAGTCCCTTGCAACCACAATGCTTCTCGGATCATCCAGGCACCTGGATCTCTGTTCTCATGTGTAGCAGGTATTCCTAGGAGTGGAACTGCTGGCATTACCATGTTGGTGTTTGTGCTGGGGTTTGAACCCAGGGCCTTGTGCTTGCTAAGCAGCTACTCTGCCACTGAGCTCCACCCAGCCCCAGCAGAGGAACATTTTAAATTTTAGTTAGGAACAACCACACCTTTGAACATTGAATGAAAAATAAGAACTGCGCCTATGTGATTATTTTGCATTCAATGTCTGGATGGAGGCTCACAGACTCCACATTAAGAAGTCTTAGAAGGGCCAGGAGTGGTAGTGCACGCCTGTAATCCCAGGGGTTAGGGAGACTGAGGCAGAAAGATTGCAAGTTCAAAGCCACTTAGGGAGGCCCTAAGCAAGTTAGCAAGACCCTGTCTCAAAATTAAAAATAAAAAGGGCTGGGGATGTGGCTCAGTGCTTAAGCACCCCTGTGTCCAATCCCTGGTACCCCCATATCCCCCCGCAAAAAAGTCTTGGAAGCGAGAACTAGAACTTGTACAGGAAAATTGTGTCCAGCCTCTGCTCCTGCGAGGGCGTTTGACTCGGTCCCTCCACAGGAAGCCAGCCTGTTCTGCTGTCACCGCTGGAGGAGATGCAGTTCCGTGCTGATTCCAGAAGTCAGATTCTTTGTCACGCTCCACTGCCAGGGCACATACCTCTCATAGATGGCCTCGGGCTCCCAGGATGTGGCTGTCGCTGTCCGGCAGAAGTGCCAGGCCAGGGTTGCTCCTCCTCAGGGCGCTGGGGTGTGGGGTCCTGGGGCCCTGGTGGCCCCTGCGCAGCTGCCATCTCGGGACTATGAAACCGGACCCTGCTCAGGGAAGGCTCCGGGGCTCACACGCTCGTCAGCTGTTAATATTTCAGCAGCCACCAAGGACTCAGGTTAACAGACGCCACTTCAGGAAAGCACCGGGCCAAACACGGACCCCGTCATCTTCCTCTTGGGGTCCACGTGAGACTGCAGGATTCCACCAGGGAAGGCTAACTGGACATGCAGCCCGCGGCGGTCAGCCTGGGGCCAGCAGGCTCAGGTGTGACCTCGGTGCCCTTGGGAGCCAGGAGCTTCCCTTGGCCATGGGCCACATCCTAGTGACCAGCTGGCTCTGTGTCCACCATGAAGACGTCGCAAGGGCTCTGGCTGACCATCCCCTGGGCCGTTCACCTGATGGTGCCTCACTCAGCACAGTTTCCGCAAATCTGGAGCCAAACAGCGGCCCCAGCCTGGCACGGTGGAGACACTGGGCACCTGTGACCCTTCCCACTTCCTTCCCCTCTAAGTTCCTGGAGCTCAAACTCTCTCGGTGCCTCACACTGCCCGTGTGACACGTCACAGAGGTCTTCAAGACCACGGCCTCCCTGGTGGTGTGACCATTTCCAGAAGCAGTGGTGTCATCTGCCTGGGCTTCAGCAACCATGAGGCACTGGGTGGAAACTCCCCTGGGCCCTTCCAGTGAGCAGAGACCATGTCTAGAGAACATTCTAGAAAACATGTGTCTCTGACGCTCTGCAGAGGAAGGGACTGAGAACTCCCATTTCTGGAATTCCATGTCAGTTCTAGAAGGTTCTACCTTGAAGACTGAAGCCATTTTGCCATGTGTGACTCATACCAAGAAAAAATAAAAAATAAAACCGAGCTTCGACTTCGAGGATCACGACATCCCAGAAGCCCCTGGAGCATCTGGGAGGAGCGACCCCTTGTTTCACCCAACAACACCCGGAGACAAGTTCTGTGTGTGAAACCGTTTTCAGATGAGGAAATTGAGGTATGGAAAGGCCAAACACTTGCCCAAGTTCCCCCGCCGGTGAGCAGCAGGCCCAGGACTTGCTACTCAAGGAGCCGCCCACTTTGGGAGGCTGAGCAGCCTCCCTGAGCAGCCTCCCCAAGGAACAATGGATAGAGAAGCAGCCCCACACTCCTCCTCCTGACGAGTGCCTGTCACACAGTGCTTCACCCATGTCACCTGGTGTCACCTGCCCCCTGAGGTGGCTAGCATGATGATGTCCCTCTCCCAGGCGAGGAAGCCAACCAGCAGCAACCTGCCCAGCGAGTCAGCCGCAGAGCAGGGACTGGCCTAGGGCTGTGCCATCTTCAGAGCCCTCTCTGGGCAGCGCACGTGGCGGCCCGTGTGCAGACAGCCCTGAGAAAATGGAGTGAGCCAGTCAGGCCCAGGAGGCGGCGTGGGCTGTGGGAGGGAGCAGGGGCCAAAGCTCGCCTCTGCCTTCACCAAGATCTGCTCTTCATGGTCTAGCGAGGTGGCACCTGGCAGGGCCCCTGGCGCTGGGCTGGGGTCTGAGCCTGGCTTCTGGCCCCAGCTCTGCCCTGACAGGTCCAGTCTCTCTGCAGGCCTGGGCAGAGCCCCGAGGACCCTCTGCCCTGATTGTGAGGCAGGAGCAGGAAGCAGGGTGACAGCACAGACTGCTGCCCACAGTGTCCTTTCAGTAGGTGCCTGAGGAGCAGCCCACTCCCGGGAGGCACTCACCCCTCCCCAAACTAGCCCCTCCACACACAGCACCCCCAGCCCCCGCAGAGGGCAGGGACGGCGGTACCACTGCTGGAGTACCAGCTAGATACCAGGAGTGACAGGCTGCCTCTGTGCTGGCCACTTGCCATGGATTCAAGCAGACACTGTCACTGTACCCATTTTACACACGAGAAGACTGAAGCTCCGAAAGTCAACTTGCTCAAGGTCACCACCGACCAAACACAAGGCCAGCTGACCCCAGTGGGCACAGTGCCTTGGGCCCACAGCGCTTTGAGGGGCCCAGGAAAATGTTTAACTTCACTCAAATCAAAAGAGGAAAAAATGAACTTTTAAAGTAAAGACAATGCTTTCAGATATAACACTAATATATTCACCTTTATACCAATACAGCAGCAAAATATAGTTAACATTTTTTTTTTTCTCTTTTAGTAAAGAAAGGGATTGACAAAGGCCAAAGTGCCCGGGGTTTGTGGAAGTCACCACATACTCACAGGCAGAACTTGAACTCAGAGCTGTTCCCTTCAAAGGTCCTGTCTGTCAAAGAATCCTCCAGTGTCCTCCCAGCCTCTAAGGGGGACAAGCTGGGGGAGCTGAAGGGTCTACCCGTGTCCCTGGGAGCGTCACAGCCAGACACCCAGCTGGCCACAATCCCAAGTGGGCAAGCTGGCCAGGCTCGATTCCTGGCCTTCCAAGAAGCTGCTGGAGCAGAGAGACATTTCAGGAGACTCCTTCAGGGAGAGAAGGCAGAGAACAAAGAGAGCCGGGGTAGGTGCTCACTCCTAAGCCGGAACACATAGACAAGAATGATAAAGATTATCTGGAAGAACATTCCAACTTTTCTTCTTCACTTGAAAGAAAACAGGAGGCAGCCTCCACCATGGGAATTCTGCCTATGAAAGTCCAGGAATAGCCCAAGGAGACAAAGAGTGCTGGCTTTGAGGGTACCCAGACCTGGGTTGAGTCCATACTCGGCTATTTAGTTTGCTATGTGGCCTTGAAAAAGTTGCTTGACCTTTCTGATTCCATTTTCCCTTTTGTAACATGGGAATAATAGCAACCCCAACCCCCATAGGGGGTTGTAGTGAGAATTGGCTGAAATTTAAAAATTTCTATATAGTAAAGCCCTTGCAAGGACTAAAAAAAAAAACCAAAAGAATATTCACTTATTTCTTGGGGAAAGAAAAAAAAAAAACCTGATTTGGACAACCCTAGGGCCTTGAGCAATTATGCCGTGGCCTTGCCTAAGACATTGATAAATCTGTGCAGTAACCAGGGTCACACCGAGGGGTCGACCTCTTTCTCCCTCCAGGTCTTTGAGGGGAGTTTAGAGACGAGGTAGTGATCTTGCTAATAAAAGAGGTGACTTGCCTCCAATTAAGGTGTCACCAGAGTCAGAAATGCATCAGCTGGGTGACTTGGTGATTCATGCCACTCTTGCGCCTTCCAAGTCCAGGATTGCTCAACCCACGGCAGAAACCGTGAAATGAGAGCAAAGGCCTGAGTAACAACCAGGTGAGGGTCCCGCACAGGTGAGCAGCCATCGGTCTAGCAGGAGGGCCTGTCCCCCGGGAGGCTCAGGGCTAGAGTTAGAATCACGCCAGGAGGAGGAACCCCCAGAGCTCTTGGCTAGACAGCCTCCCCCCCGAGAACTGCACCTCCCTCCTGCAACCCGGGTCCCAGAGCAGCACATTTCAAACTGCGCGTGCGCAGGCACAGCCTGGGATGCCAGTAACACTCGGCTTCAGACTGAGCGGGTCTGGGATTCTCCTTCCCTTTCCTCCCCTCCTGCCCGTCCCCTCCCTTCCCCTCTGCCCCCTTTTCATCTCCTTTCCTAGGGCCTTGCCAAGTTGCTGAGGCTGGCTTTGAACTTGTGATTCTCCTGCCTCAGAATCCCGAGCTGCTGGGATTACAGGCGTGCCCCAGAATTCGTCTGGGCTGAATTCTGCATTTCTGACACACTCTGGGCTGGTGCTTCAGAGCATTAAGGACCCTGACTCTCCTCCTGGCCCCATGACCTCTTGGGCTGTCCTCCACCAGGAGCCTGGCTCAGCTTTACTCCGAAACGTGGGATCCGAGGACCCAACTGCACTGCTAAAAACTGGATCCCTTGGGATCTCTGTTATTTGTGGGGATGCAGGGATAAAAAATGGATTCAACAGCATGGCTGGCACATACTGTGATCTCCATTACTTGGGGGGCCGAGGTAGAAGGATGGCAAGTTCAAGCCCAGTCTGGGCAACTTAGCAAACCCCTTGTCGCAAGATAAAAATGAAAAGGGCTGGGGACCTAGCTGAGTGGCAGAGCAACTGCCTAGCACACGCGAGGTCCTGGATTTCATCTCCAGTGTGTGTATGTACACACGCATGTAGCAGGATAATTTATTGAAAAGTTAAATTTCTTTTCATCTCAACATACCTGCTCTACATACTCTGTTCAGGCAAGTAGCAAGACCCCTTGATGTCTGCCCTCAACCCCGGTGCTGGGGACTGGATCCAGGGGTGCTCTTACCACTGAGTTACATCCCCAGCCTTTTTATTTTTTTGACACAGGATCTCACAAAATTTCCAAAGCTAGCCTTAAACTTGTGATCCTTCTGCGCTGCTGGAATGACAGGCGTGCACCACCGTGCGTGGCCTCTGGATGCCTTCTTGCCCAAGGCTCTCTAAATTACAACTAAGTACAGAAATCAGACAATTCCTTTTAAAAACAGAAGGCTCCAGATAAAGCTGGGCCCTCTCCCAACACCCCTGCTCCTAGTTGCTAAGGTTTTTTTTTTTTTTTTTTTTTTTTTTTTTTTAATTTTGCAGGGCTGGGAATTAGACCCAGGGCCTTGTGCGTGGCAGGCAAGCACTTTACCACTGAGCCACACCCGGCCCCAGAAAGCTGTTTTAAAAGAGGGATTTCGGCAGAATCATCTTGGACTGGGTCTTCCTTTTACAAAAATATAAGCCCAGGGGCCCAGGAAGGCAGAAGGAAAGGGGCTCCCATTTTCCATCCTGTTGCAGGGCATGACTGGGGTATGGGGGAGCAGTAAGGATATAAAGGGGGCCTTCCTTCAGCCTCCCCATCAACGCCACCAGGTCCTGATTAGAACAGAGCATGGCCACGGCATGCTGGAGAGGCAGACCCCAGCTCTCTAGGGGACGTTCCCACCCCCAGGGGCAGCCCTTCACTGGGGAGCAGGGGTATGTATCCCACTGGACCAACCCAAAGGCTAAAACCAAGGAGGGGCTTCCAGGCAGTACCTGGGCTTCGGCCCCAAGCATGCCCCACCTGGCAGGGGCCCCCAGAAGTTGGGTCACCTGTGGTGTCAGCATCAGGGACATGACATGGACATGGAAAGGCAGAGCCCGTGCCCCTGATTCTGAATGAGTTCTCCGTCCTGGTGTTACCTGGGAAGGGAAGGGCCTTCAAATGACTGAAAAGGAACTTAGGGCCACACCTCCCCAGGGGAATTTGGGGTGAGCCCCAGGAAGAATCAGCTGCAAATTCTAAAGTGCTCTTATATCTACTGTGTCAGTCATGGCTTCTGCAGAATCGGTGTGCGGGTGTGTCAGCAGGGCACACCCGTTCTGAATGGAACCCAAAGGTATCCACTAACGCTATTCCATATTAGAAATGCATTCACTTTTTTCTTCTTTTTTTGGTATCAGAGATTGAACCCAGGGGTGCTTAACCACAGAGCCACATCCCCAGCCCTTTTTATTACTTTGAGGCAGGGCCTCGCTAAGTTGCTTAGGGTCTCACTAAGTTGCTGAGGCTGGCTTTGAACTTGAATCCTCCTGCCTCAGCTTCCTGAGTCTCTGGGGTTACAGGCATCTGCCATTGCGCCTGGCATATACCATTTTATTTTTAAAGTAATACACATACTATAGTTTTGGAACACGTTATCAACCTGTTTCATCCAAAAAAAAAATTGCTAAAGGTCACCATCTGTGGAAACATCCTGTGCTGCTTCCTTGAGGAGCCACCCTTGATCTTAACTGTTCTAGGGTTAGGGACCACGAGTTTGTCCCTAAGCAGGCTGTGCTCCCTGGCTTTTTTTTTTTAAACATTAAGAAAAAAATTATTGCAAAGGTTATATACATTCTAGAGTTCATTCATTATTCAGTAGAATATGCACTTTGATCCTTTTTTTTTCAAGTGATAAAATTCAGAACTGTCTCAGATAAAAATACCTTTGGGTTCCATTCAGAACGGGTGTGCCCTGCTGGTCTCACCACCGCGCTCAGATTCTGCAGAAGCCGTGACGGATGAGCAAGGCTCCCGCCTCTGCTGTGACTGCCACCCAAGTCCTTCCCCACAGGGGCGGATCTGGGAAACCATGGGAGATACCTGGATGTGATTGTAAAATTCAGGAGGAAAAAAAAAAAGCAATAAAAAACTTCAAGCACTTTCCTCTTTGCCAAGGTTGGCTGACTCCCCAGAGGCCCCTCCGCCCAGTGAGTAAGAATGAGAAGGATTTCTTCTTTGTTCTAGGGATAGTCATAAGAGATGCTGCTTCTTCCCCGAAGGGGTTTCAAGGATATTTTAGGAGTTGTGATAGGTGATGTCATTAAAAAAAAAAAAGCAGTTTTTTTTGTTGTTGTTGTTTGTTTTCTAGTGCTGGGGATTGAACCCAGGACCTGAGAATGCTAAGTATATATGTATACACACTACCATCTAAGCTATGCCCCCACCCCACTTTTTATTTAAGACAGTTTAGGGTTGGGGTGCCTGGGTTCGACTCCCAGCATGACAAAGAAGTAAATAAAAAACACCAAAATCAAATCAGCCCATTTATCAACAAGGAGAAAAAAAATGAATGTGTATTTATAGTCTCCCAGCCTGCTCTGAAATTCAAAGCTGGAAAGCGTTTCAAAAAGCAGCATAGACACGAGTATGGAAAGTGAAAACACACGCGCCAGCACCGTCTATGGTGGTTCATCCAATCTCCATAACAACCTGCGGGGAAACTCTACTCATTAGCCTTGTTTCTAGAACCTGAAGAGCTGAGTGGTTTTCCAGAGTTTGGGGCCTAACAAAACTCCAGGTCTCCAGGCCCTTGCTCCTGACTCAGGATGTGCTGACTCCCTGGGGAACAGCCACTGTCCTGAACCTGACGTGCAGATCACTCTCTTGGGGGGCAACTCAAAGGCTGGTGCCGTTTTCTGGCTGATCTTCGTCAGAGCCCATGGTAGAGCTAACAGCAGGATTCTTCTCTTGATAAAGAGAAACCCTCGGCCAGGCACAGTGGCACACTCTTGTAATCCCAGCAGCTTGGGAGGCTGAAGCAGGAGGATTGGGAGTTCAAAGCCAGCCTCAGCAATTTAGAGAGGCTCTAAGCAACTTAGAAAGACCCTGTCTCTAAATAAAAGTATAAAAAAGGGCTAGGGATGTGGCTCTGTGGTTAAGTGCCCCTGGATCCAATCCAATCCCTTGTGCCAAAAAAAGATAGAGGAAAAAAAAAAAGTCTGTTTCAAGAAGACGCCCAGCTCATCGAATATCAAGGAAGGAAATAATGGCAGAGGTGTTTGGGGCTCAGGTTGAACCGTCCCTTTATCTCATTGAGGCACCCTAAAAATATACATAAAGAAAATAAAAATGTATATTCTTGACCCCAAATAATTCTTCTGGCTTTCATCCCCGCCCTTTAAAGATGCATCATTGATTCTATTAGTCTTAGAAACCAACCAACATGTATCTCGTGTGTGTGTGTGTGTGTGTGTTCAAAGGGCAACAGAACTGGGGTGAAAACCAACTGAGGAACTCAATCAACCCAATAGAAAAAAACAACACAACTTTGAAAACATAGCCGCAAACATGAGATCGGGTTGCCATAGCAACCGCTTAATTGACATTTTCCTTTTTGTAGTGTTTGTTCTGGGGAGGTAGGTGCAGACATGTGTCCCCAGGGTTGTGCAAGTATGCGGGTACCCGGCTTTCCCCATCAGGGTTCATCACTGGGGGCTGGTACTGCTCCCAGACCAGGCCCTGGGAATCCGGGTCTTGCGCATGGAGAACCCTCTGTCTCACGACCCGTGGCCACAAGAACCACATCACCATGTAAAGAAATGATATTTCTGAACTTGCTCAGGGCATGGCCAGGAGGCTAAGGATCAGGATGCAGAGTGACGGTGGCAGACCCCAGAGCAGTGACACCAGGTGGGCTGTTCCCCACTGGCTTGCTGAGCCAGGTGACGTGGAGGGGCAGAGGAGAGAGGAGGCAGCACAGCCCAGTTTCAATCCATCAAGAATGCAGGACCCCCTTTTATCTTCTCAAAGCGCAGTCATTTTCTGCACCAAACCATATGCCAGCAAAGCTGTCTTCAAAAAAGACAAAGAACAGGAAGACAGGCCAGGAGTGGCTGTGCCAGCCTCAGCGATGGAGGACAGAGTGACCCTTGGATTTACCTGCAGGAGTGACTGACTGTGGCTTCAGCCACTGACCTCCCCCACGCAGCCTCTGAGATGCAGAATTCCTGAGCCGCACAGCAATGAGAGGCAGCCCTGGCTCAGTCCCTGCAGCCACGTGGCTTGTGACAACGATGCATGCAGAATACTAAACATGACCCTGGGAGCTCCTGACACGGCCACCTGGCTGCAGCCCTGCCTGTTCTCGTCTGTTTCATGCGGGCCTGTCACCGAACACACGTGGACAAGCCGGTGTCCAGAAACCACGGCTCTGCGCTGGCAGATAGGAGTCGTCAGCAAATTATTTTTGCCGGGACAAGAAAATCGGTAGGTGGAAAATATTGCCTTTGTGATTTCCCCATGCCCAAAGAACGGGATGGAATCGCAGCTTGCATTTTTGAAAAGGCAAAACGCTCCCCAGAAGCCCACTGGAGTTCCACCTTACCAGAGCTTCGCTGTCTCCGTTTCGTCACAGGCCTGACTGTGTCACCTTTGTTTCCTGGACCCCTCCTGCCTCTAAGAGTCACTGCAAATCTCATTGTATAAAAATCTGGAGCATCTGTGTGTTGTGTAAATCAGACCCCAAAAAGGCGCCACCAGGATCAGGTGCATGAGATTCTGGGTGGAAGGAGGATTTGAACAAAATGACCCTTAGGATATGGGGGGAAGGCCTCCTTGCCTCCTGGCCTCCTGGACCTCTTCCTACAAACTGAGAATAACATTCTGGGAGGGAACCCTTATTTGGGTGGTGGTATTACTCCCCCCAGATACTAAAGATGATGGTAGATGACACGCTTAGCATCTGTGGTACCCTGGATTAACTCCCCAGCAGCCCCCCAACCCAAGTAAAAAAAAAAATCAAAGACCATTTGTAAATGTCTCTGTCACTAAAGTGCCCCCTCCAAATACATTTGGAGACCCCACCCATTATGATTCCCTTTATTTTAGATTTTATTGAAATTTATCTTACAACACTTTCTGTGACTCGAGAATACAGACGTTTTGACTGACATCATTATCCAGTGATTGTACTGGAATGTCATAACTGTCAAGCTTATTTACTCAGACTTGCTCAGATCTAGGTTTTAGATTATTTTCCCCCCAATATCTAATATTTCATCATTCTTGGGCAACTCCTAAAAGCCAGTTTATGGTTTCTCCACTATTTTAAGCATTTTTTTCCTTCGCCATCTTTTTCCACTGACGACTCTGATGTGGAGAGCACCCACATCAGACCCAGGGAGGAGCTACACCCCTCCTGCAGCTCCCGGTTATGTTAGGATGACCTCCTTGGATTGGAGGTCCCTTCCCCCACCTTCTCCTCTCCAGGCATCCCCGTCCCTGTCCCTGG